AGGGCGTCCGGGCGACGCTAAACGGGGGCAGGTTCCCTTTCGACAGCAAGAGGGAGGGCGTGAACCAGCGCGCTATCATTGAGTTCGTTTGCGACAAGGAGAGGACGGGACTAGAAGGCGACGAGATGGACAAGAGCCCCCACGAAGACGGTGATAAGGATGACAAGGATGACAAGGACGACAACAAGAAGGATGACGAAAAGAAGCAAGACAAGCTGCGGCCAAGAGAGGAGAGCGGCAAGAGCAAATGTGAGGACAATGACAACAGTTTACGCTTCTGTGGTTATGACTTGGAGACGGAAGAAAAAGACAAGAAAGTCCAAACACTTCGATTGGAGTGGCGAACCAAGTACGCGTGTGCAGACGCGCCTTCGCCCGACGGGGGCTCGCACTGGGGCTTCTTCGGCTGGTTCTTCATCATGTGCGTCACCCTCTCTGAAGCTCAAATGTATGATCGTGCACTAACATACGTCTAGTCTTTTCCTTGCAATTGCTGCCTATCTCATCTTCGGCTCATGGTTGAACTACAACCGCTACGGCGCTCGCGGCTGGGACGTAAGTGTCCCTGTACGAACTGTTTCTGACACATACACTGACTTTGTACTTCCATATCTAGCTTTTGCCCCACGGCGACACGATCCGCGACATCCCATACATTGCAAAAGATTTCGCCAGGAAGGTCATGGGAACTGTTCAGGGAAGTGGCAGCAGAGGAGGCTATGCAGCCGTTTAGAATTGGCGATACTCCAGGGCTCTGTGGGTACGTGACTGGCGACGTTTATGTAGGATACATTGATTGAACATGGAAGAGCATACTCGGCGCTGGAGTTTACTGGGTTGAGTCTTTGATTGGCGCTTGAGATACTTACCTAGGTCTTGTGAGATGACAAATGAGAAGTTGAAAGGACTACCTTTTATCATGGATACCTTGTTTGTCACATTGTGTTGGTGGTGTGCCTCTCCGTATCATCAAAAAGTCGTTTTTCAGAAAACATTGTCTGGCTGCATCTGATTTTGATGCGCTGTCACGCATTGTCGCATGTTTTACTATTTGGATTCGTCTTCGATTTAAAGACTGGTTTCTAGAAGAATACTCAAACACACTTTCGGACGAATGCCATACCTAGGTACAATTGCCTGGTTCCCAGACTGTGTTCGCAATACTTTCACCGATGTCCATGTCTAGTCTCCACAAGAAATCTGTGCAGTTTGCTCCTGGTACCAACTTCGAATTGGACCATGTATATCATTGGAAGCGATATAGCCCCGTCTGTTTGGCCGAAAAACACAGCTGTCTCTCAGATCTAGGACAAGAGTAATCAGACACTAGCTTGATGATTAACGATCTGGAGCAGCTTTTGAGCCTCGAAGTACACGCTCTGTTACTCGTCCGCGATAGGAACGAAGCGGCTGCTCTGTTCAACTCTCTCAAACAGTAGCTGCGAACCGGCAAGCCACTTCTCCCCGGCTCGAAAACTCTACATGGGGAACATTCAATGTGCAAAAAGGTTTCAGACATCTGCGAAGACATACTCCAGCGCAACAGAGGTGGCTTCTCCAAAGCCGCTCGAGATGAGCGGAAGCAGGCCAAGGCGATTGTAGTTTCCGAAGATCAAAGTGACAGCTTTGTAAGTTTCCAGTTCGTCAATGGTACTCACGAAGAGCTAGAAGCTCACGAGTCTGTACTCGATTTGCGTCGAGGTGCAATCTAGATGCAGGTGTGGGTGGACACTAGCATACTGGTCATATAGTCGCAATATAACAACATGGTTATCTAGGTACAATATTCAAAGGTCATGCAGCTTGTATAGACGTACGTGCAAATGACTTTTGGATGAGACTGCCTTGTTCGTACAGCAGAAGCAAGTATCCACAATGACCAGATGTCTCCATGTTGTAACGTGGATGTATCAAAGCAATGATCAAGAGTTGACAAGATCACTCTTGAGAGAGCAGAAGAATATAGATCAACTGATTGTGAGTATTGATACAAGTGGGTCACGCCACAGGAACTATACTAGTTGACTTGTGTACTTACAAGTGAGAGATGGACATCGTACTTTAGAGAAGGTCGTCAACGAACTTTGGTCGGGATGACCAGAGTAGTGGCACTGATGATGCTGAATTCAAGAAGGTCAAAGGATGTGAGCATGGGAATAGCAATCAAGAGAGTGCGATTGGTAAAATTCCCTATAAAAGAGACGGCAAGCCAAGAATGAACATAAAGAAGGGTGCATTCCACACAGGGTTGGAAGTCCTCAACCAAGCAGATATGGGAATGGTAGCACGATCAACGGGATTCCTGTCATTACGAAACATATCGTTCGCTATGCCGTTTCTGGGATGAATCATTTGTAAGCACACGAATCTACATGTACACATACCTTTGAAACACTGTTTTGGTCTGTCAGCTTTTCACTACGATCCGTTGCTAGAGAACGACCTTTTCATTTGTGGGCTGGAATATGGATATCTAAAGGAAAATGGAAATTTAGTAATCCCTTACCAGAATTCACCTATCGTTGATCACCATCTCCACAAGGACCATCGTCATAATCTTGTCGATAGCCTCAAGCACTTCTGCCGCCATCTTTTCGCCGGAAGATGAGCACCAATTCTCCAATAAGAAGATCAGTACTGTTCGGGCTTTCCATCTGGTGTCATCAACAATCACATGTGATACTGCCATGCCATTGTATACTAATGCGGGAAAGAAGAAGTCATCAGTTTCAAACCTGATAAGGAACAAGAAGCCACCGAAACTCCTTAATTAGAAGCGGCCACAGGATTCACTCTTCAGACATCATCGCTAGTGGCTGTTGACTAGTCTGCGAGGTGGGAATGCATCTCAAGTTCTTCAGTCGACTTGCACGGATGTTCCAGAGATGCGGCGGCCTATAGTCGCAGATGCGCATTTCTCAGGTGTACTTGCTAATCAAACAGTGTCGGCATCTAGCACGCTGCCAATCAGTCCAACTTGTGGAATCTCTCGAGTGTGTCAGGAAGTATAAGAATCTTAGGACGACCAAAATCCAAATAAAGTCATTGTGTGTGCGTGACCAACAGCTTCCTAGGGGCAATACGCAGTGCAGACATAGAAAGAACATCTAGCGAGGATCATCGGAATTTTCTCTTAAAACAAACCTGCGGTCAAGCAAGAGTTGGCGTCGCTCGAAGTGGCGAGAGCGAAAGCCGCTATAGCTCGAGCGTGAAAGAAGACCACCTTCACACCAGACACCGTGACCTTATTTCGTCCGCAGCGCCCCCCGTCTTCGGTGCATTCTCGGGAAACGCCTTTTATAAGAGCTTGGTAGACTCGCCGCTCTATTTGGCTCGAAGTGAATCGCCACACCAAGAGTCTACTCCTCCATAACTATCCTTTCAGATCAAAGGTCTACTCGACCCGTGTCATGGCCGCATTTGACGCATCTTTTGCAAGTTCCTCGGGCCACCTAGTCACCGCCAGGAATACTGAGCCTTGATTCTGGCATACGGTCGCCCTCAGAGTTGATCAACCAGTTTCTGTAAAACGCCGAGACAGCTAGGTGGAATACACTAGAGTTGTTAAAATGTTACGGATGCACTCACATCTCTCGCTGACGGGCGACGAAGATACAGTGCGGGTCATGAGTCTGTTGATCCTGGATAATATAGTGGAAAAGGACAGTCATGGCGACGAAGAAGCGGATCAGATAAGGTGGACATATTGGGCCAAGTGTGGCAACGAGACCACGACTGCAATTACTAGCGTCACTGTCCCATCAGCCAGGCCTGTTGCTAACGATGCGGAGCGTACCCGGAAAAGTCGGAAGTCCGCTGAATGTAGAATAGTATCGTCCAAGGCTGCATAATCGATTGGCTGGCACGAAATCCAATACACACAGCTTAGCTTCAATGTTTTGCGTAAACTGTAGATGCTTCCTATGGGGGCATAAATGAAGTCTTTCTGTGGATAAGTGTGATATAATGTGGACCTCATCATAAACGATGGTAGGAGGTTAAAATTTTGCAACCAAACGAAAGTCCTTCCATGGACGGGACTATGCATCAGGTTCGAGGCAGGATCCATGGCGCGTGGACGAAGTCCGCCGGCCTCACCGCTCCCGATCTTCATGTTGAGCATCAGTATATGTTACATTAAAGCGAATCTGCTGAGATGTGCACGGGATATAGAGTCAAGAGCAACGATGCACCAAGACGACCACATCTGCGCGTGGATTTCAGGCTGCTGCCAGGTCCGAGCTTTCGCGCAAAACACGCCACCCCGTCGCAGCCTTGCACTAGGGTGATAGACTTCCAGCGCTCTGACATGTTCATCGTAATATAAAGAGCACAACGCGTCCTTCGGTAGGACTGCTTCAACAGCGATTTACATGGCTTTGTTTGCACTCCCGCCGGAACTCAAACTCAACGTCATCGAGTTCTTAGATCCCGACTCGACCCTTAACTTTGCCCTCACGTGCAGAGACCATGCGACACTTGCGAATTCGACGCTGAAAGAGCACGGAAGGCTGCTATCGGAATGGAAAGTCGTTGACACTACAGATGTGCGGACGCTTCTGTGGAGAGTACTGAGAGAGGTGTTGATCGATCCGCGTCAAGGCTGGTACATCAGGGAACTCAATCTTCCAGCGACCCGACAATACAACTGGAATGTGAATGAAAGTTTGTATGGCACCCATCCAAACAACGGCGTTGGGCCGTCCGAGGAAGATAAGGGCTTGTTCATTAAGGCGGCGAGAAATCTGCGTCACCTGTATCCGGTGACAGGAACAAAGACCGTGCTGCGTCAACACCCGCGCTCCACCGAAATCCTGCCATTTCCTCAACTCACAATTGCCTCGATCGAAGATCGGATTCACAGAGGCTTTGAAGACGCTATCATTATACTACTGTTGCACTATTATCCTTACCTTACCACTATCAGACACACTGTGGTACACCAAGAAGAATGTTTGGAGACGGCCCTGTGGCATATTGCCCACGAATACAAGAACCCAATGATAGCGCCGATGCTCCCTTTGAAGCATCTCAGAACGGTCGCCATCGCCTACTACGATACGGAAGGAAGTGTCTCTCCCGACTGGGCCTGTTACTATCTTTGTATTCCTTCGTTGAAGATCTTTGCAGCGCAGGGGATGGGGGACTCGCCTAGTAGACAGGTGCAGCGCAGTCTGTTCCCAAATGGTGCTGTACCGTGCTCGAACGTGGCAGAGCTATTCTTATGGGATTGTCGATTTGATGTGGACGGTTTAGCAGTTGTTCTTGCAGCGGTCAGGCATCTGGAGAAGTTCACGTATCACGGCGGTGGCTCTACAGTATCGGAAACAAGCTCCTATCAAGCCAAAAGGGTTCTGGAAGCGGTTGTTACATATGCTGCTCATTCGCTGGAGGAGCTTAGCCTCGGTCAGGGCTATGTAGATGATGATGTAAGACCTTGTTTCTTGATAGATTTCTTGGCTAATCACCGTTGCTAGCTTGGCCTTGACATTCCCGGCCCGACGGTCGTCTCACTTCGAAGCTTCCGAAAGCTTCGCATACTTGATTGCGAATGGTCAGTACTAAGACCTGAAACGGAAGAAGAGGAAGAAGATTCACAACATGATGAACCTTTAGAAGAAGGATTCCATCGTGCGGAAGATGATGAAAACACTGATACAGAGTTCGACGTTAGAACAATCCTTCCTGAGTGCATTGAAGAGCTACACTTAGGTGGTGAATTCAAAGTATATGAGGAGTGGGAGCGCCTAGAAGACACGTTCGACACCCCAAGTGTATCAACTCCACATCTGACTATGGACAAGACATGCCTCCAGAGAAGCGATAGCGATAGGCGTATCGGAGACGCAGAGAGTCGAGGGGGTGTGTGGTCACATCCCCTTGCACAGCTCTTCGAAGGCCACGGATATTAAGTTTGAAGTCTATAAGTGTTGTTCGAAGCTACCTTAAATGCTATAGAAGAGGAAAATACAGCATTAGTTTGATTACATAGATCTTGATAACACCTAGATACCTGCGTTATTTATTTGTATAAACGTTTGAATAGTAAGACAATAATATAATATTATATACTTACACAATGTTATAATAATATATAAGTACATATATCTAAGAAATAATATAATACTATTCTAATATTATTAAAACTTAACTATAGTATAAGTAAGATTATGTATTTATATAAACTAGAGTACTACTGTATTTAATATTAATTTATTATACTAGTTGTAAGTAGAGAAGAATAGTACTTTTTATATAATAATATCCTATCTTATAAAGTTAAATTTATAGCTAGAGTTTCTAGTATATATAAAAAAAAGGTTTTTTTTATTATTAGCGTTTAGAGGATTCTACTTTTAGGAGTATATTACTATTCTATTCTAATTCTATACTATTAGCTGTTTTAAGTACTTTACTCTATAATTATAATCTATAATGTATTAATAACAGGAAGTAGTTTTGTATCTCTTATAATAGTTATAATAGTACTAGTATAGTACTTAGATAAGTTAATCTTATTTATACTCTATACTATTATATTATCTATTATTGCAATATTAATACTAGGTTCTTTATATAGAAATAATAAAGCTAAACGTAACGCTTAAGCTATTTATATTATAGTATTAAAACTACGTATAAACCTATTCTACTCTACTACTTAGATATCTAAATTTATAATAATATTATAAAAACTAGCTATATTATCTACCTACTACAGTTAGTTAGATAATAGCTTAACTATACTAGTGTTTAATACTACTTCTAGTTACTTATATCTTTTTCTTTACTATCTACTTATTAGTTATATTAAACTTACTTAAATAAGTTATTTCTAAAGCTTTTTTAATTTCTATACTTTAATAAATAGTTTTCTAATTATACTTAGTTATTTAAAATAATATATATTAAAAAACAAAAAATAAGAGTAAGTAAGAAAAGTAAAGTAGTTTTACTTATAGGTAGTTATACAGAAATTAATTTGATTCTAAAAAGGTATAGGAAATAGAAATACTATATAATATTTCTTTCTTACCTAAGTAAGCGTTCTAAAGATATACGATTTTTTACTAGTATAAAATGTTAGCTTAAGCTTAAGCTTTAGAGTTATTTATCTATTAAGATTATTTTCTTAATAAATAAGACCTGTGTTTTTATATCTTTGTAAGTAGTAAACTTTAGTATTTAGCTATAATATGTAGTAACAGCTACTAAACTCTGTAGATAATAATACTAAGTCTAATTACTAGTATAAGGTCTATTTATAATACTTACTTATACTTAATATTAACTTTGAAGTATATTAATACTTCTAAATATACAAGAGATATATAAAGCTATAGTACTAAGTAGTATAGAGTATTATTTTAAAAGCTACTCTAATCAATAGCTATTCTAAACAAATAGAGTTAGGTAAAATAGATAGTTCCTATAAATATAAATCTAGAGAGTTTGTTGATATAATTATAAATAGACTTAGAAATTACTTATAAAAAGTATACTAGTTTCTAGTACTAATAATGTTAGAAGTATAAGTAAGTTATATACTTTAAAGTAATTACTAATGAATTCTTGTATTATAAAGTTTTATATACTCTCTTTAAGTATAATAAGATATAATACTATAGTTTTGTAACAAAGGAATATAAAACTAAGATTAAGTATGCTTTTTAAACACTTACTAAAGATAAATTATAAGTATTTCATAACTTACTTCTAAAAAAGTATAGTTCTAAGTATTAATAGAATAAAAAATACTAATAGTTTTTATTACTTTACTTTTTATAAAGTAAATATTATTTTACGTTATTTTTTTTAACAGTAAGCTTAATTACTCTTAGAATACTAGCTTTGATATAATAATTGTCTAAACTGTATATAAGAATCTTTTTTTATTTAGCGTTAATAGGCTTCTTTTTTTACAAACATACTACTATTCTATTAAAAGCTTATTAAAGTACTTATTTTAAGTACCTTACTCTATGCTTTTAATATATATTATATATACTATACTTAGTTAAAGTATATTAATTTATCTTTAAGTAAAGTTTACAATATACTAAGATATAATCTTTTAGTTATAGTACTTACAGTTGATATAGGTTTAGAAAGTATAATATAAAGCTTAGGTTTTATAAATTATAACTAGGTATTACTAGAAAATAAATAGTAATTTCTAGTACTAATTTATACTATACTATTATTATAGAATAAAGTACTTAAAATAGCTAAGTTTATAAAGTTATTTTAAAAATGTAGTATACTTATAAAAGAAAGAGCCTTTTATTTTTAAAGAAGAAAACTATTATCTTATTAATAACTTTACGTTAAATAATAGTTTTTATTATATTATAACCTAAACGCTAAAAGCTTTTAAAATATCTTTGATTAATATAAGCTTATACAAGATTATATACTTTTAGTCTATATATAACTGACTTTATTACCTAGATATCTCCTAGCTTTCTAATATATAATAATAAAGCGCTTATCTTATCAAAAATTGAATTACTTAGTATATAGCATAGTTTATATTTAATACTACTAAATTATAAACTATACTTATTTTATTTTATTTAGCGTCTAGAGGCTTCTAACTTTATATATATACTACAATCTTATTACAATTTTATAATATATTAGCTATATTAAGTACTTTACCTTATACTTAAAACCTATAATAAATTAATACTATAAATTAGTTTTCTCTTTTTATTTAGTAAAATGTAGCTGTAGTAATGTAAACTTAAGCTCTATATTATATTTTTTAACTCTATTAGTAGTATAAGCGTTATATTTATAGAATATTATCTTAGTATAACTATATAAAGTAAAAGATATCTAGAAGAACTATTAACTTGCTCTAATTAGCTGCGTTACGTATAGTGTAGTTACCTATCTTACCTAGACTAGTACTATAGAATATAGATATTAATAATATTTACGTATTTTATATTCTAGTAGAGAGCCTTAATATTCTTTAACTTATTATTAGTTTTAGTAGTAGCTATTTAGACTTAGCTATTAGAAAATTCAAGTAAACTTTAACAAGTTTGTTTATAAGTAATTTATAAGTTTATTAAAGTTATAAAAAATAGCAGTACCTAGTTATTATTATAAGACCTAGTAATTTGCTTCTAACTATTATAATAGGCAGGTAATTATTCTAGAAAAGATATATTTACATTTATATTTAAGATATGTATTTTCTACTACTTCTTCTATATCTTTTTAATTTTATAATAATAGCCTGTTCTTCTAAGATAATAGCTATAATACAATTATATATACGTATAGTGCTAGCTACGCTTATAATAACTTTAAGCTCTATCTACTTGTAAGTAGTATATTACTACTATAAACTATTAAAGAAAGTTCTTATAAGAGTAGGCGTATAGTATACTAACTAAGTTTTTTCTTATTGTTTTAGTGCGCTTCTAAATTTAACCATTATTATTAGTACTATTTAGTATAATAAACTTTTTTAGAACTTACTACATGCTAAGCTTATACTAGTATAGTAGAAAACTATGGACTTAGCTTACTTTTATTAAAAGATAAAGGATTTCTATACTATAAAGTTTTATTTATAATAATATTACTACTTAAGAAAAAGCATACTTATAAGATATATATAATTTTTAGTAAGATAGTATATAGCTTATATCTTTAGTAACTTTCTAAGACTAAGTTAAGTATTTCTTCTTATACTTATTAATAACTTAGAGCTAACCTACTATTATAAGTCTTTTCTATCTACTACTTTATTTACTACTTTAGTTATATTTTAATCCTCTACTTAAATATATTAATTAATTAACTAACTAACTAATTACGCGAGCGTATACAGCTAAAGAAGAGTAATATAGTAAATATAAGTAGCTTTAGATAGAGAAAGATAAAAAGTTTTAATTAGTAATAAACATTAGTATAGTTAAGTTATTTAGTAGGGCGTATTACGTTATAAAAAGAAAAGATAGTCTTTAGTATTAATATTAATATTAATGTAAAGATACTAACGTAATATAGTATTATTAAGATTCTAAATACATAATAAAAAAAGTCTAAGCTCTAAGCGTTAAGCGTTAACTACTACGCTTAGTATTATTTTTCTTATACCTGTAGAGAAATTAGTAGTAATTAAGCTATAATAAGTAAACTATACTTATATCGTAAGATAGTAATTACAGCTAATATAATAAAACTATATTTGTAGCTCTATTTAGTAGAGATATACAAGTATTAAGTAATGTTCTCCTACTATAATAAAGTATAGTATAACTAAACAGCGTTGTATTTCTATATAATTACTAGTAGGTTTATTACATAGATTAAAAACAGAATAACTAACTATACAATTTATACTAGAATAATATTATATATTTATAAAGCCTGCGCTTTTGATAGATATATAATATATAATATAGAGCTTAAGTTTAGATTACTATAACTATGTTCTACTAGTAAGAAAACTACTTTAAAGTATTAATTAGTTATAGATTATAAGTATAGAGTAAAGTACTTAATATAGCTAAGACTATCTATTACAGCTTTATTACTAATAATTTCCTTGCAAGTATAAGAACAACAATAATACTAAGTATAGCGCTTAGAGCTTAGGCCTTTTATATTATGCTATTAGAATTACGCGTAATACTATATTACTTTATTACTAATATATCTAAGTTAATAATATAAGTACTAGCTATCTCTTTCTAGTAAGTAATATATTATAAGATTAGCCTAATACGCCTAGATAGACAACAGCTTAACTATACTAGTTTCTAATCCTACTTTTATCTTTCTATCTTTATCTTTATACTATCTACTTAGTTATACTCAACTCGCCTACGTATGCTATTTCTAAAGCTTTCTCTATTTGTATACGCGCGCAATTACTTACCTAATTTAA